GCTATATATATATATATATATATATATATATATATATATATATATATATATATATATATATATATATATATATATATATATATATATAAGTGATTAGGAGTTTTCACATATCACAAACACTTTTTAGTAGAAAAGAAAAATAACATTAAGGCCAATATGTGCAAGTATTTAGAGATTTCATTAAAGTCACTAAAGCGTGGCAACCTTCTTGTCTGAGACACTCTGGTAACAGTCATATAAAACCATCATGGTCCGGGTGGTGAGATCTTTATCACACTAATAACACTGACCTTTGACGGGCTCAGTCTGCTTCACGAGACACTCTGCAGGTGGACACAGAAACAACACACCCATTAAATTACAACACGTTAACATACTTTTAGTGAGCTAATCCAGAAACTGACTGGTTTACCTTTTGTGGGTGGGGCTTGGTGGTGCATTGGACAGCTCTGAGGGGGCGTGGCCATCACAGCCTCTGCCTGGACAGTGGCAGCAGCAGGTGTGGACACAGAGGCTCCCATCCTGCTGTCTGTGTGAGCAGAGACACGTTCTGTCAGTTTCACTCTGAGCAGGAGCAGAAGTGAAACCTTCCTGCTGTCATATGATTAAAAACATGTCTACCGTGGGGCGCAAAGCAGTTTGTCAGGAAGAAATGCTGCATTCACATTTATTCACTTCCAACAAGTGTTGGACGGGGCCCAGACCGACGAGGAATCAGCTGGTCTTCCTGTCTCTGTGGAACAGCTCCTTCTACAAATTAATCTGCTCCCTCCAGTGAACCCAGACTGAAAACTTTGCTGTTCCTCTGAGTCTTTTAGTCGTTGCGTTTGGTGAGTTGACTAATAGTTAATAATAAAGTCTTAAACAAAGATCTTGTATTTTGTGAGTGTAGGTGTTTTTTCTGCTTCTGCTGCTCCCAGTGAACTAGAAGTTTAGACTTGGTAATTGTATTTACACTGGATGTCCTTCCTGTCTCAACCACAGACGCCGAGCTACCACAGCCCTCCGTGTGGAGCAGAGAGCTGCCATCTTGGGCACCCGAAGGAGCAGATGGTGGGGGTAAGGACCCAGAGTGAGGAAAATGAGGGTGGAGGCCGGTGTTTCACCTGAACTTTCCAACCCACGTTTTGATGTTTTCAGTCCAGGGAGTTGAACAGTCGACCTTCCGATCACAGGCTTGCCTTCTCTAACCTCTGTACCACCACTTCCCCTACACTTCACGAAAGCAGCTGCATTAAAAACACTTTTTGTTTTCTTATTTACTTTGTTAAAATTACTGGAGAGGTTGATGACAGAAAACGTGTCTGCTTGTGCTCATATTCAAAGTAATTATATTCAGCATTATATTATAATATTATAATTACATCAGTCACATATTCAGTACGCTACAAGATCATTACCAAGTTCAGAAGATTGTCAGCTCTCAGAATCATCACGTTCACTGAAGGTGAGATGTTCCTGAAAACAAGAGTGGTCTCTGATCTTACTGTTCATACTTAGAAGGTAATTGATCAAATCACAATGAATCAACTAACCTGCCTAATGATGCTTCATTTCCAGAGAAATCAGACAGTTTTAGGAATGTCACAATTATTTTCTGTAGTTTTGGTATAAATCTACAATTATTCAGCTTTCAAATGATACCAACGTTGTCTAATCCAAAGTAATTTGAACCATGCTACAATGTTAAACATGCCTAAACTTCTTGGAAGGTCTTTTTTAAACCATTTTCAATTCTATGTGATGTGATGTAATGAGGCAAAAAGCAGTAGCAGGTCAAACAGAACCGATGACAATATAACCCATTAGTCTCCTGGTTTTATTCTGTTTACAGGACGAGGCAGCAGAAAACCAAACACGAGTTTGGTCACAGATGGTTGTACTAGTTATTAAACGTCCACTCCACGTTTTCCCAGCAGCTAGGCTAAAGTTAGCTTAACCCGAACTGTGTCTTTTACACAAAGTGAGATCATTTCTACAGCTTCAGGACTCCTTCACCTCCTGCTCCATTAAACGACACACAGCTGGGTCCAACTACCGAACCGAACCATCAAATAAGCACTGACCATTAACAGAAGTCACACTCCGTCTTCTCCTCTTCGGTCCCAATGTCAACGAAATGGACCGGAACGTACGCACGTATGATACGTAAATTCTTGCGTCATCACGCAACACCTAAGAGGGGAACTCGGATTTTCATATATCAAGTTAAAGGTTTTTAGTCTCATCATCACAAATGATAAAAACAACTTTTGAAGCATTTTTGTTTAGACAAAAATGCTTTAAAATGACATATTTATTATTAAATAAATCGTAAATACGTTTCTAGTTGTGTGATTTATTCGCCATTAAAGATCGAAACTGTAATTTCCGAGGTACTTTGAAAGCCACCTAAAGATGAACAGTTACGTATATTTTCAGAAAGGTCATTGTATCATGGATGTACTGACAAAGTCTAACAGCAGTTTTTGTCATTCATCTAATTTTATTTCCTGCCAGAATATCACATACACATGTGAAAAAGTGATAATGATAAACCAACAAAGTCCATGCTCAATAATCCAAATAATGATAAAGTTAGAAGTTTACCTCAAACCTCATCAATAAGGAGTCTTCACCTGGGGCCTATTTAACATTTCCCTCAGTTAATTTGAGATATACATTTCTCATCTTATTTAGATTTGCTTATAATGTAAATTTAAAAAAACGTAACAATGCACTTGTCTGATTTTATGCATTATTGAAGTGCTGCTGTGTTTCATTGTTCATCTCTAAAATTTTGTGAGCTATAACAGACACCAGGACAACTAAATATGAGAAATATTAAATATAAAAAAAAACATACAAGCTATATCAATATAGGAACTTCTACGTTTTCTATTTACCAGATCTTTATTGGCTCAAACGTTGTGCTTTTTTATTATTATTATTATTATTATTATTATTATTATTATTATTATTATTATTATTATTATTATTCAGTTTATTTGTGTATAAAGACATTTCCAATAAAATAGAAATAAATATTACATTTTTGACTGATGAAGCTTTAACATTATCTTAAACTGTAACACAAAGTCTGGCATCTCCACTAGAGGGAAGTAAATTATAACTTATCTGACACATTGAGCTGATTACTGCAAACACTTGTTTTTATGTTTCAACAGTTCATGCTCAATAATCCAGGTGTAAATCCAACAATGTTCAGTCAAATCATCTGGACAGTTTCCTTTTTTTTGCTGAGACGTTTCGTCATCCGACTTCAGAGTTGACGGGGGAGAGAGCAGACCACAGAACCATCTTGTCACTAGCAAACAGTTTTTTTCTGCTATGGGAGTGTGGTACTTGTGAGACTCAGTTTGTTTGTGGCTCCTCTGACTGAAGAAGTCCTTCGGATGAAGGACGAAATGTCTCAACAACAAGAGAAACCATCCAGATGACCTGACTGAACATTGTTGTTTTTATGTTTGTTTGTGGGCAGTTATCAGAGGACTGTTTGGCAAAAGCAGAATTTTCTAACCTGACTTAAGTAGAGAAAATGGGGTTTGATCAAACCTTTTAAAGATCACCTTGGATTGTTTAGTTTCTCGAAACCTAAACCAGCTAAATAAAACCAGCTGTCACATCACAAACGACTTGTTTTTGATAAGAAATATTCATGTAACGTACTTCACTTTACATGAGCATTTAATAAATGGAGATGTTTAAAGAATTAAAGCCAACAATAATAATCTGTTGGAATTACAGGAACAGCTCTAAAATGGTTTAAATCATATCTATCTGATAGATTTCAATTTGTAAATGTAAATAAGAAATCTTCTTCATACACCAAAGTTAGTCATGGAATTCCTCAGGGCTCAGTGCTTGGGACAATATTCTTTACTTTATATATGCTTCCATTAGGTAAAGTTATTAAACAGAATGGGATAAATTTTCATTGTTATGCTGATGATACAATTATATTTGTCCATTAAACCCAACGAATCCAATCAGCTTCTTAGACTACAAGCATGTCTTAAAGACATAAAAACCTGGATGACCCTTAATTTTCTCCTGTTGAACACAGACAAGACTGGGGTTTTGGTTTTTGGACCTGAGCACCTTGGGAATTAATTTTTCAGTCTTTCTCCCTCCTTAGATGGCATTAATCTGTCCTCCAGCTCTAATGTTAAAAATCTTGGTGTTATTTTTGATCAGGACACGTCTTTTATCCCCCACATTAAAAACGTTACTAGAACCTCCTTCTTCCACCTGCGTAATATCACTAACATTAGAAACATCTGATCTAAAAATGATGCCGAAAAACTGGTCCATGCATTTGTCATGTCTAGACTGAACTATTGCAATGGTTTATTATCTGGGTGTCCAAATACTTCTTTAAAACGTCTTCAGTTGATCCAAAATGCTGCTGCCAGAGTCTTAACTGGAGTTACTGGGAGAGATCATCTCTCTCCAGTTTTAGTTTCTCTCCATTGGCTCCCTGTCAAATCCAGAATAGAATTCAAAATCTTACTTCTAACCTACAAAGCCCTCAACAACCTAGCTCCATCTTATATTACAGATCTTATTGTTCCATATTTTCCTAACAGAGCACTTCGCCCTCAGACTGCAGGTTTACTTGTGTTTCCTAGAATTTACAAAAACAGAATGGGAGGCAGATCTTTCAGTTCTCAGGCTCCTCTCTTGTGGAACCAACTTCCAATCTCTGTCCGTGAGGCTGACACATTATCCAGTTTTAAAACTCGGCTTAAGACTTTCCTTTTTGCTAAATCCTATAGTTAGGGTCGGCTTGGGTTTCCTGAGCTGTCCCTTAGTTATGCTGCTATAGGCTTAGACTACTGGAGGATAAACTGACCACAACTTTTCACTCTGCTACTGTCTTTACTTACTCTGCTCAACCTGTTTTGTATTTGTAATTATTTTTTATATACTTAACATGTTTTTTTTGTCTTTCAGATACATCTGGACCTATACCTGGACCTACCATTCTGTGTTCGCCTGTCTCTCCTTCCTGTCCTCTCAAACCAGCCGGTCAAAGCAGATGGTCGCTTGTCCTGAGCCTGGTTCTGCTGGAGGTTTCTTCCTGTTAAAAGGGAGTTTTTTCTTTCCACTGTTGCCACTGTGCTTGCTCAGGATGGGAGACTGCAACAAAGCCAAGATTCATCTTGTCTACTGGATTCCTTAGATAGAGAACTTTACTAATTGGCTTTTATGTGAATGTTCCTGTAAAGTGCCCTGAGACAACTTTGTTGTGATTTGGCGCTATATAAATAAACTGAATTTAATTGAATTTTTGAGTAAAATTAAGTAAGTGGAAACAGATTAACATAGTCCATAGTACTCAGGGTTTACTTCATAGTGTTTCCAAAAGTAGAATGGGAGGCAGAGCTTTCACTTGCCAGGCTCTTCTCTTGTGACACTTCATCCCTTTAGTTGGCATTTAACAAACTGCAGAAGTGGAGACTTACTGACACCACCTGCATATATTCAAACAATTACTGAGAAGGTCAAGGATTTCTACCATAAATCAACACGAATGACAACGACAAACATGACACAATCACGTGCAAGAACATAAAGCATCAGAGAATGATTCTGACTGATACAGCATTGAACCTGCACAAGGAGTTAAACAAGAAGGAACCAAGAGTAAAGCTAAGTTTTTCATTCTGTCACAGCACCAATACCGTTGGATGGTAGGACATGCTAATGTCAGTACCATGAAAATCTTAAGCTGATGCTTGAAGTCTTAAGAAAAAATGGGGTTGTAAAGTCTAGCAAACTGGAGGATTGCTTTGACCTTGTATGCTGTTCACTGAAAAACAAGGAATTTCTTCTGCACTCCTGCACCCAATGTCTCTGCATGCATACAGACACATCCCACATCACAGCAAGACCAGACCAATGTTGAATGCTAGCAATGGGAACCAGTTCAGGACCAGACAGCAGATAGGATCCACTGCAACATCCATCCATCCATCCATTATCTTTACCCGTTTATTCCATTTTGGGTCACGGGGGTCGCTGGTGCCCATGTCCAGCAATCCCTGTGCGAGGGGCGGGGTACACCCTGGACGGGTCGCAAGTCCATCACAGGGCCACATAGAGACAAACGAGACAAACAACCATTCACTCTCTCACTCACACCTAGGGACAATTTAGAGTTACCAATCAGCCTAACATGCATGTTTTCGGACTGTGGGAGGAAACCGGAGTACCCGGAGAAAACCCACGCATGCACGGAGAGAACATGCAAACTCCACCCAGAAAGGCCCCTGGACCGGGGTTCGAACCAAGGACCTGCTTGCTGAGAGGCAGCAGCTCTACCAGTTGCGCCACCGTGCTGCCCCCCCACTGCAACATAATAAACTTTATATAATAATAAACTTTATTTCTATAGCACCTTCCAACAACGCCTTGCATTGACTAAGGTGCTTTACAAGATAAAACAAGATTAAAAACAGAACACAATAAATCAGTGCAAATTAAAAACACAGCCAGAATAAAAGAAGGTAAAAGAGGTTAAAAATACTAAAACACTAAAAGTTAAACATTAAAAGCCCTTTTAAATAAACATGTTTTCAGTTTGGCTTTGAACTGAACCAGATCAGATCACACAGCTCATGGGGAAGAGTATTCCGGGCTGTTGGGCCTGCAACAGAAAAGGACCGGTCCCCCCATTGTTTGCACCTTGAGCAAGGCACCTCCAGCAGATATTGACCAGCAGACCGTAAAGCTCTACTGGGCTGGTGGACTTTCAAAAGTTCTGAAATATAGGGTGGTGCAAGGCCATTCAAAGCTTTAAAAACAAACAGTAGCAGTTGAACTGTGTCCTAAACTGAACTGGGAGCCAGTGCAAAGAAGAAAGGACAGGAGTGATGTGTTCATATTTACGTGTGTTAGTCAACAAGCGAGCAGCAGAGTTTTGTACAAGCTTTAAACGGGAGATAGAAGATCGAGTAATACCAACATATAAGGCGTTACAGTAATCAAGCCTAGAGCTCACAAAGGCATGGATGGCCTTCTCCAGATCACTACGGCTAAGGAGTGACTTCACTTTAGAAAGCAGACGGAGCCGAAAGAAGCTGGTTTTCACAACAGAACTGATCTGTTTATCTAGCTTTAAGTTACACTCAA